CCCTTTTGTACTTTAAAAAAAAATTTTTAGATTTTAATGAATTTTATAAAGAACTTGGATTTCCATTCATTCATTGTTGCACATTTTCCTCCCCCTCCCCAGTTCACTTTTTCTTTAGGAAAAAAGTTTTTTCATTGTTATACAGTCATTCCCCCCAGACTGCTTTATTAAGCAGCTCTTATTCTGGACTCTTGTCATGCCAATAATACCTAATCATATATTCCTTTTATACAGTTATCTCCCTCATCTGTTTTATTTATCCCCTCTTAGTTTCCCCCTCAACTCCAATGTCATCCTGTTTTACAACAGTGGCATTATGCAACTTTTGTCTTTTTTTTTTTGTGCATGTACCGTCAAATCAGATCTGACTGGTCCCTCTTTCTCTGGCAGAGCATCTGATGGATTCAAATCGTGTACCTTTGGGATTGCAGTACAGCTTCTTGCCACTAGGCCACCAGAGCTCCCCTACTTTTGTCTTTTTGTGACTGAGCATAATGTCCTCCACGGTCACCCATTTTGTATAATAATTCATGAGTTCTTTGTTTTCAGTGCTGCATAATACCGTTCATTGTGTGAATATACCACAGCTTCTCTATCCATTCGTTTGTTGATGGGCACTTAGGTTGTTTCCAACTCTTTGCTGTTGTGAACAAAGAAGCAATTAACATGGGTGTGCATGTACTTTTAAAATTTTATGTCATGTAAATATCCTGTATAATCTAAGAAAGAGAAAAATAAAAAAGATTATATAAGCAATCAAAATCACAATTCAGAGCAGGTGGGCATTCTGTTTTGGCTAGAGGAGGAGCTGTGGAGTCAGACAAACTTGGGTTCGTATACCAGTTCTGCTGGTTATTAATTTTAAGAAGCTGAACATCTCATTTAAAGTGGTATAGTTTTCGCATCTGCAGAAAGAGCTGGAAATGTGAGATGGTTCTGAAGATAACAAGTCAGCAAACTTTTTCTGTAAAGGCGCCCGATAGGGAATATTTTTGTCTTGGTGGACCCTGTAGTTTGCCACTGTTGTCAAACAGACAGTCCCCAAGTTAAGCACATTCAACTTATCTACAGCTCACATGTTACCTTTTACTTACATGTAAAAGGGTAGTGAAAATTAAGTCCCATCTTCTTAACCAGTCAAGTTAGGTTTCTCTTCCCAGAGAGTAAAGCCTATTAAGATTTTGAGGAACATACAGTGCTTTGGGTTTTTTTCCCTTTTTTTTTCCTTGTGTACTGTTGATTCAGATCCAACTGGCATAGGAGGGAATTGCCCCTCCTTCTCCAGCAGAGCATTTGGTGGATTCGAACCACACACCTTCGGGATTCCAGTGCAGCTTCTTGTTACTAGGCTACCAGAGCTCCCTACATACAATGTTTGATAATAACAAACAGATGCTACTTTGTGATGTGCATCAAAACATTTTTACTATTTTATTATGTTAAAGATGATTTTGTGTATTAGGAAGTATAATATTTTTATTCCTTTATAGTATACTATCTTCTAAGACCAACATTTGATTACCAACAAATATGAATTATACCTAGCTGTTTGATTTACATAGAAGTTCAATTAAAGATGGATTGAGAAATGGAACTTTCATCGTTTGGGACCAGCCTGTAGTGAGAAAGAAGTGATAGACACTGTGTAAATGATTAGGCTTGGCTATTTCTGGTTTATAGAGACTAACATTTGAATTTTATGTGATTGTCACATATCTGGATGATGCATATGACCACTTTCAGAAAGCTTGGAAATTCTAGGATTGCAGTGCAGCTTTTTGCCACAAGCTTGGAAATTCTAAGACCTGCCTGCTTCCAAAAGCTTGCTGCTTTGAAAATCCTATGGAGCAGTTATATTCTGCACACATGGATCTGAGCAACTTGCCTCAACAGCCAACAGCAGCAGTATGACAGACAATGGACTGTCAACAGAGTATATACAGACTATGCGAAAATAGCTGGCACATTGCCCTCACAGAAAATAGTAACTAGGACTCTGACCACCACTGCCTCTCTGGAGCCCCCACTACATCTCACTCCCCACTGGTTATCTCCTTTCTAGATGATCTGGCCTTCCTCAAATCCAACTTCTGTGTGACTGAAAGCACTCCCCGCCCCTTCTCCCTAGTTTCCCTCAGGCCAGAAGCCTGAAATGTTCTCCCAAATCCTATCCCCCAGTGTTGTTTGTCACATCCTCCTTTGGCTGACCCTCTGAATCAGAGTATTCCTGTTGCATCTGCCCAGAGCTGTAGGACTTACCTCCCATCCCCCATAGGACTGCTTCCAAAGGAGTTGGAATACTGCTGCTACTCCTGTCCTTTGACCCTGCCCTTAGAATTCCTGGATCCCTTTGACATCCAGGTTCCTTTGAGGTCTTTCCCAGCCATGCTCATCTTATTGCCCATCAAACTAGCCTTTCAAGTTCCTAATTCCTTGCTTTGCGTGGTCATATTTTCCATCGTCATCAAGAATACCACACATTCTTCCTCCTAACCAAACAAAAACATCTCTTCTTTTCCTCCTCTACAAGACCTTCCCTTTTCGCCTTAGTAGCTGTGGTCTCTCTCGTCTTTTAATGGCCACTCCCTTGTCCATGTACAGGTTGCTGGAGTTTCATACGCTTTTGTCTCCCCAGTTGGATTACAATTTCCTAAAAGGAAGTATATTAAGATTTAGTGACTTCTGTGACAAATGACAAGTTAAATAACTTGTTGTTATGTGCCATCCAGTCCACTTGCAACTTATCAACAGCCCTGAACCCTGCTCTAGCCTGTGCTGACCTTATTGTCTCTGCCACACCTACCCTCATTTACCCCAGTCACTGAATCAATCCATCTCATCGACGGTCTTGTGTGCTGTTCCTCCACCCTTCCAAGTATATGATGTTCCTCTCCAAGGACTGGTCCCTCATTGCAACATGCCCAAAGTATGTCAGACAAAGCCTCCAAATCCTTGCCTCCAAGGAGCAGCCTGGTTTCACCCTCTCTAGGACAAACCTGTTTGTTCTCCTGGCAGTCCATGGTATATTCATTACTCTTCTTCAGCACCACAGCTCAAAGGCGACAGATCTCTTTCTGTCATTCCTAGTCATTGTCCAGCTTTCTGATACATAGCTAATAAGACTGTGGGCTGGATCAAGCACACCTTAATCTCCAGACTAATGGGGAGGGGGGAATATTAGCTTACAAAAAAATATCTTTTTCTTTAAAGAAAAAAATACTATCTTTTGAGGGCTAGAAGTCCAAAATTTTGCAAAAGTTCAAGGGGAAGCTTCTTTTTTCTTCCTGCTTTAGGGATTATTTTGGTCTCTATATGCACATGCCTTTCTTCTGTCTTTTGTCTAAGGACACTTGGTTTGGGTGTAGGATTCAGGATAATCTCATCTCAAGATCCTTAATTCTGTCACATCTACAAAAGACTTTTTCCAGCTAAGGTCTTGTTCACAGAATTTGGAGATTAGAATGTGGCCATATATTTTAGGAGCTCACTATTCAGCTCCCAAATCACTGTTCAGTTACAGGCCTGCTGTGTGCTTTTCTCCCTCTTCTAGCCCCCAGCTTTGAGAGAAGAGAAACCTTAGGCAGGGTTATGTGGAGGGAAGGCATAATTCCCTCAGGACCATTGTCCCTGGAAGCAAAGTCTGTTCAAAGTTGTAGGAGAGGCACCCTCATCTTGGTTTTACCATGCGGGTACCCAGAAATTGCTCTTAAAGGCTCTATTCAGATGTTTAGCCAGAAGCCTGCTTGAGCTCTGCCAGCAGAGTGAGAAGTAGGTTTAAAATTTTTTTTTTCATAGTTAGTAAAAGTACCTGCTTGTTGTAGAAAACAGGAACAAGCCAACAACAACAACAACAAGTATGCATTGTGTGTGTGTGGGGTGTGTGTGTCTGTCTTACGTACATTGAGTGGATTCCAATTCATAGTGACTGGATGTGACAGAGTAGAGCTTCCTGCCCTAGGGAGCAGATTGTGAGACCTTTTCCCCTGTGGTGCGACTGCTGGGTTTGAACTGCAGGCCTTTTGGTTAGCACCCAAATGCTTTCCCATTATACTAACAGGGTGCATGTGCATGTGTTGTTTCCTTCCCTAATGAGATCAGGTGGCACATGCTGGTCACTAATTTGCTTTTAAAAAGTAGGTTTAAAATAACATTTAAAAAAATCCTTTCAACATGCCAAAGACATATCTCTGAACAAAGAACAGAAAACATGTTTTATTGTGAGTTCATCCTGTATCCACGCAGAATCTAGGTCTGATCCCCAGGAGTCACCGGGTCTGCAGTGGGAGTTGGCCTAACCACCACTTTTCCCCAGGGTCCCGGGTCCCCAGGGGCTGGGCGGGCATGAACTTGAAGGTACAGCCCCAGGAACCCCTGGTGCTGAAGAGTGAGGAGAACACAGAATGGCACCTCCTGCAAGGTGATGCCGCCGTCATTGTAGAGGTAAGGTGCTGGGCTGGCTCTTTAACCCCACTCTGCTCTCTGGTGGTGAGACCAGCCAGTGACTGGGGCCAGAGCATGGGTAATGGAAGCTGAGGATGCATTAATACCTAGTCTCTCTGCTTCCCTCAGGGGTATATATGTGTGGCTGGGATGACCTGGGGAAGCCCAAGCGTAGTACTTAACCTGATTAGCCACTTCTGTGTGTAGAAAAGTGGCCCGGACCAAGTGAAGCTCTCGAGACTCAAGGAAGGCACCTACGTGTTCCAACTGATAGTGTCCAACTCAGACCAGCCAGATGATACTGGCAATGTCACGGTCACTGTGCTTTCTGCTAAACAGACTGAAGGTAAGTGATGGAGAGGGAAGTAGACCAATCTGATGACTGGCCCTGAACACCCCCTCACACTCTCCCTCCCTTTTCCTTAGAATATTGCCTCGCATCCTACAAGGTGGGACGTTGCAGGAGCGCCTTCCCCCGCTGGTACTACGACCCCAAGGATCAGATCTGTAAGAGTTTTGTTTATGGAGGTTGCTTGGGCAACAAGAACAACTATCTCCGGGAAGAAGAGTGCAAGCTAGCCTGCCGGGATGTGCAAGGTGGGCCTCCAAAGACAACTTTAGGGGCTCGGGTGACATTTCCCAGGGAGGGTGGTCTCTTCACTCTTCAGGCGGTGGATAGTGGGAGTTCCCATTCCCTAGCCCTGCCACGGCCTGGCTCTGCCTCCTCTTAACTCTCTTTTCTTCCTCTCCAGGCCCCTCAGTGGAAAGGCACCATCCAGGTGGGCTTTGCTCCTTTCCCTCTTTCCCACACCCCCCATCACGTACCCAACCCATAGGATGCCCATAGCCCTGACCATTCCTGCCCTGATAAGGTGCTGAGGAACCACCCCCACCCACCCCTTCCAGTCCAGTATCCTCCTTCCGGGGCCCACCCAGCTTCAGTGTAGGAGAGATCAGAGTGATGGGAGGGGAGGTGGGGTGTGCCAGCTCAGGATGGTGTGTTAAAGCAGAGGCTAGGTAGACCTGACCTCACCTGCCCTTCCGCTTCCACCCAGTGTGCTCTGGCACCTGTCAGGCCACCCAGTTCCGCTGTGGTGATGGCTGCTGCATCGACAGCTTCCTAGAGTGTGACGACACCCCTGACTGCCATGACGCCTCCGACGAGGCCTCCTGTGAAAAATGTGAGGCCTGGGAAAGGAAGACGGTTGGGCAACAGGGTGAATGGGGTCTCCTAGCTTTGCCCTGCATCCTTGGGAGACTCTCACTTGGTCTGTGCCTCTGACCTTTCATCTCTGCAGACACCAGCGGCTTTGATGAGCTCCAGAGCTTCCATCTCCCCAGTGACAAAGGTGAGAGCTCTCGAACCCCTGAGGGTCGGGGCCGACTTTGGCACCACCTACCCAGTCTGCCAGCCCTGGTCATTTCCTCACTCTCTCTCAGATGATGTCTGCATCATCTGATGATGCCAGGCTGTGGGCTGAGGAGCCTGAGGCAGGCCTCGCTCTCCAGGAGAGCAGCCTGTTTTCTGGTTGGCTCCCAGCCTCCCTTTTCTGACTCATGTTGCCCAAGCCTCTGTCACTGTCTTCAGCACTTTCATCCTGTCAGCAGTGTCCATGGAGCATTGAGTTGGTTTTAATAATTTTTTTATAATTCAGCACATCATTTCTAAAAATTATATATATTTTTAAAAGGAAGTTTCACAACACTACCGTAAATGAAAAACCACCATGACTTGCCACAAATGGAAAAGGATAAGAAATGGCTATAATGAAGGAGTGTTAGTTTTTGCCAGACATTGTCACATACCTAGGCTCAGACACTGAGGCCTGTTCTCTTGGTTAAGAAGACAGATCAACTTGTGCTGGGAAGCTGATGTCTCTTCTCCGGCACCAAGAACCCTAGTGGTATGGTGGGTTAAGCATTGGGCTGCCAACCAAAACGTTGTCAGTTTAAACCTACCAGCTGCTCTGTGGAGAAAAGAGCTGACTGTGTGTTGTCATAAAGATTTACAGGTTCGGGAACCAGGTGGTGTGGTTCTCTGTCTTGTAGGGTCACAGTGAGTCAGAATCTGCTGAGCAGCAGGGGGTTTGGGTTGGTTTGGGTTCCTTGGCTGTTGGGAGGAAATGGAAAAGGAAATAACTGAGTTTGTGTAGTTTACTTTTGTGCCCAGGATTATTGCTCAGGATCTCTGTCCCATCTTCCTGGCAACACTGCCTTGAGCCCCCTCAGGCCACGTGAATCACACTCCTGAGCATAAGGCAGGTTTGGGAATTGCTAGGTAGCCTGGTGCAGGGAGGCCCTACCACCCCACATTTTTGCCTGATGTTTCCTCCCTACCCTCCCACCCTCAGGGCACTGTGTGGACCTTCCAGACACAGGACTCTGCCGTGACAGCATCCCCCGCTGGTACTACAATCCTTTCACCGAAAGCTGCGCCCGCTTTACCTATGGTGGTTGTCATGGCAACAAGAACAACTTTGAGGATAAGGATCAGTGTCTTGAGTCCTGTCATGGCATCTCCAGTGAGCAAGGCTGAGGGGTGGAATGGGTGGAAAGATGAGAAAGGAGAGCTTAGCCAGGCCCTCTGCCCTGTCACCAGGCCCAGGCTGATCACACTTCTGTTTCTGGAGTAGGAATGAAGGAAGGGGCCAGTATGTGGCATCTACATTTCCTAGCGCTGCTGCAGCAGAAAAAACACAGTGGGTCCTTTTCAATAGCAGAGATACGCGTTTTCACGGTTCAAGAGGCTAGAGGTCCAAATTCAGGGCAGCAGCAATAAGGGTGTAGGCTCCGTACCTGTTGAAGCTTCTGTAGCCCTTGTGTCTCTGTTCCTTGGCATCTTCACATGACCTCCGTCTTTCCCTTATTGGTGTTTGCTTCTGTGGATGACTTGCTCTCTTTTATAACTCAGAATTCTGTTTGGGACAGAATGCCGATACAACCCCATCGACATAAGTAAATTCTACTCCCAAATATGATCACATCCATAGGCATAGTGGGTTAAGTTTCCAGCACATGTTTTGGGGAGACAACTGAGTCTATTTCAGGGGACTGGGAGAATTAGGAAGCAGCTGGATCTCAGAGCTCTTAGTACCGACTGATCTCTCTTCTGTCATTTGCAGAGAAGGATGTGTTTGGTCTCCGGCGGGAAAGCCCCATCCCAAATGCAGGTAAGCCGTATCCCGATCTATTTCCATGTTAGAGGAGTAGTCTCAGTTCAGGTCCATGTCATTGGTGGGGTCGGAGAAAAACAAAGCTGTGCTGAGAAGCATGCTGAGGGACAAAGTACCACGATCACGTGGTGATGTCTGCCATGGGAGGAGAAGGGAATGATAATAAATGCATGCCAGGTGTTTGCCGTCAGGGTCCACACCTTTCCCCAAGCTTCCTTCATGTAAAGCTACCTGGAGCCTAGACGTGTCAGGATACAGTATGGGAATGGACATCAGGACTCAGGAGCCCCTCACTCTGCACCTTCTGCCCCCAGGCTCCGTGGAAGTGGCCATTGCCGTGCTCCTGGCCACCTGCATTGTGGTAGTAGTAGCCATCCTGGGTTACTGCTTCTTGAAGAATCAGAGGAAGAGCTTCCAAAGACACCGCCACCGCCGCCCCCCGCCCCCGACCCCCACCAGCTCCACGGTCTCCACCACTGAGGACACAGAGCACCTGGTCTACAACCACACGACCCGACCACTCTGAGCCCAGAGAGGCCTTGGCCCTTCAGCTGGAACACTCACCAGCTTTTATGGCCTAGCTTACTCCTTACCAAGAGGAGACTTAACCTGGGGAGAACTTTGGGACCAGACTCTTACCAGAGTCCCGGCTCAGAGCCTGGGCTCCAGCTCCCGATGGAAGCCTTCTTAGCTGACCTCAGGCGGGGTGTTTCTGAGAGAGTACAGGCACTTGGCACAAGAAAAGCCCTGGGCGCATCTCTGAGACTGCCTGCCTCCTGCCTTGGATCTCAGAGGAAGTTGATGTTTTGCTTCCTTTTCAAAACTGCCAACTTCCACTCCTTGGTTACTTCACAGTAGGGAGGGGATATCAGGTGGTGTCAGAAGCTGGAGTCCCTCGAGCCCGGTTCTCCAAAGCTGCCCCTTCCCCTCTGGCCAGTACAGGATTTAGGGGATGGGAAGGACCTATCTGTATATTTTGTGCTGTAAAGAGTTGCTTTTTTGTTTATTTAATGCTGTGGGAGTCGGTAAAAAGGGACGGCAAGGACTAGCCCTGCTTCTTCTCTTCCTTCTTCCACCAATATTGAGATTTCTGACCTTGACGGACCCTAGCTGGCCTGGCCTCCGTGGCAGAGCCAGAAAAGAAGCAGGGGCCAGAGAGGATGTGCCTTTGCCCTCCCCTCCCCAGGCCCACCTCTCACATCACCACCCACCTTCCCATAGTTTCTAGTCCACCTCCTGTATAATAAAATGACTTAGTCTATGGGCTTCTGCCTTCATTCTATGGGCCAGGAAAGGAACACAGTTGCTATGGGGGGAGATGGTGTTGCTTTGTCCAACCAGTTCAGGCTTTGGCCATCCTGTTAAACAGGTTTTCCCACCTTTCTCGAAACTGTCCCAGCCCCTGAGGGTGTAGAGAAGTGCCAGGTTTGACCACCAGAGGGGAGGAGTGAGAGAGCCATGAGGGTGGGGGCTCAGGGAGGGTGCATTTCTGCAGTGTAGCATTGCTTCTTCCTGGTCAGAGTCTCCCAACAAGACTTCACTGTGGGGCTAGTCTAGCTCTCCCTGTGCATGTGGGAGGGGGGAAGGGGTTACAAATTTAACTGGCCTCTACCTTTTGGTGTTGTGAGAATGGGGTTCTTATCTAACCTAGGCTGACAACAGCCTAGCTTTTCTCAGGAATTCCTCCACTAGTCAACAGTCTTTTCTTTTACCCTCATTTGTTCCCCTCCACACACAACAAATTCCTGCTTTTGTTTGTTCCGGCATTTAACAATTGATTGAGCCACACACTGCCAGTCATTAGAAATTTGGTTTGTGAAAACAAACAAGGACGTAATTAGTTCTTGGCACATAGGAGGCAGTATATAAGTGCTTTATATAGCTCAAATTGTTGACTTCGCACATGATGTGATGGAGATACTATTATCTCCATCTTAATAGCTGAGTTCCTAGGGTTCTGAAGCTGACAGGAAAATTGGGTTAAAACCCTACCTACCAGTATGGCTTCAAAGTCTAAGAATTTTGGATTTTTATAAGGGTAGTGCAGGAAAATGGAATGTGAAAGAAGTTGGGAGTTGCCTAAAACCTACCTGAACATACACGTAGGAAGACAGAAATGTGTAACTTACAGCATTCCTCAACTGCCATCCCTCTGAGGCAAGGACCCCCATACAGTTGACTAGTTCAAGCCGCCTTTTGATCGGATCCGCTAACTGCTACCCCTCTGAGGCAAGGACCTACACACAGTTGACTAGTTCAAACTTTTTGATGGGGCTCATTCTTACATGTTTTGTAGATGCCCTGTCACCCCAGACCTACCTCCTCCCCACCTCTCATCCAAGCTCTTGCTCATGAAATCTTCCCCTACTCATCCAGATGGGGGTGCTGTCCTCCGTGCACCAGTGTCTGCTAAGGGAACCTGGCATAGAACACCCCCTTGCTTCATTTACCTGGTTTTCCATTAGGTGTGAACTGGAGGTGTCTTCCCTGGGCCTCTAGTGCCCTGTCTGCATACCCTCCATTACTGCAGTAAAAGGTAGCTGTTTGCTAAATGCTGAGTAGATGCCAGAGTGTGGAGCTCATTTACCCAGCTTTGATACCTGGGGCACCATATTTTCCTTTCTAGCACCCTACTTTTGTTAGCCACTCATCCATCCTTCATGGTCTAACACCCATTCTTTACTTAAGACTCTCAATGCTGGGGTGGTTACTGGCTCATTAGATTCTCTATCTCATTTCCTAGAAAAATGGTCAATACAGAATAAGTGAAAATTCTCCCGGGGTAAGGTAGAGAGCAAAAGTGAGAAAGAAAAAAAAAGAAAAGTGAGACCTTGCCAGGCAGAAGAATAACTGCAGCGTGCTGAAGGTCAGTGCTGGCTGTAGAAGCTGCAGTCTCAACGGGGGCCAGTAGGGGGAGATCTCACCCATCAAAACTGTAGTCTTGGCTGGACGCTTTTGAGAAGAGGACAACAAGCAGGTGTCAGGTGTGCCCTCGTGAAAGCTGGGATACAGCCTCCTGGAATTTACGTTCTGGAGGCAAATATTGTTAACAAAAACCACTTGGGCCTCTATTTCTGATCTCTGACCTCCCCAGTTGTCCTCTATACTCACCCAAATATTTCCTTTTTCACAGAACTTTTACATCTCTGCTTTTTTCATTGTTTTCTTCATAGCTCTACCTTAATGTATCTTTGTCCATGGGAAGCTCAGACTTTTTCCCTGGTCCAGCTCCCCTGCCTTAGCTTCTGCCAGAGGTCGTCATCCCCTTCTCCATTCTCATGTTTGCAGGCCCTACAAGCATATGGGCCCGGTCAGTTCTTGTTTGGAGTCCCTGGGTGGTACAAACTGTTACATTATACACATGGTTGTTAAACAACAGATACTTCAGAAGAAAGGCCTGGTGATCTGTCGTAAAACCAGCCATTTAAAACCCTGTGGAGGATAATTCTCTGGCATGTGTGGATCACCATGAGTCAGAGTTCATTCCTGAGCAACTGGCATGGTGTTTTGGTTTTGGTTTTATTGTTGTTTTAGGGTATGTTTGCCCTCTTCTGGAAGGGAAGCTTCTGGTGGCAGAGTCTGGGTCTTACTTGCTTCAGTGTCCCCCGTGCTGAGTCCTGCTTGCTGTATGAAAGCAGAGGCTGCACAGCTGTTAAGTTTAAGGAGGAGGCTGAGAAGTGTTTTCATGGAGGAGGTGTGAACTGAGACAGGCAGGTGAGTGTCAGGTGTTTCAGACATAACGAAATCATAGGAAACTTGGGCAGTGGAGATAACGACTTTGCTTGGTTTGGCTACTGCTAGCAATATGGCCCAAGCAGTGAGCAGGACACCCGACAGGTGACTATATGCCTCACTGGCGGGCACATGGGGATTTGAGCAGGGGAAAGAGATGCAAACTTTGAGGGAGGGGCCCTGACAGGAGGCCCAGGGTGGTTAAACCACACCACTAACGGGCATATCACAGGACAGACAGGCTAAACTGCAACCATATTTTCTTTTTACCCAGAGAGTGGTTTAATTTCTTGGGTAAGTTGCCAACTTGAAGCAATAAAGATTTCACATAAAAAAATGTAGTCTAAAAAAAACCCAAAACCCAACCAAAAACATTTTTTTTACAAAATTGTATGTCTACTACCTCATGAAAGGGTGGAAGACCTGATATCAGAGTCCACATCCCTACACAACAAACAGCTCAGTGCTGAGGATCAGGGTCTTTGGCTGGACAAGTACCAACCATCTACCGCCCCATTGTGCCTGCTGCTTCCAGAGTTAAGTGCTCATCTGGAACCTTCAGGTAGTTAGCATTGGGACCACGATCCCCTTGTCCTCTGTAACCCGCTCCCTCTGCCTTCCTTATTTTTGGAAGATGTCTCTAAAACCATATTGGTTCCATTTCAAATAATAAACACTGAAAAAAACTAGGTTATTTCTCCCAAGTCCCTCCCTGCCCACTTAAACAAATAACCCTGAATGAGGAGTGGTTTGTCCTATTACACAACACCACTCCCTTTCCAACCCAACCGCAGTTAGACAGTGGGTGGGGGGGCGGGGGGGGGCGTGGAGAAAGCCCGAGAAGATACCTTTAAGCTCCAGGAAAAGTTGTTGTCAGTAGACAAACCTCGACTTCCTGATGAAACCTGGAAGCCCAGTTTCAGCCCAAGGGGTGGCCTAAGCCCTCCCACCCACCTACCTCTGTTATATGCCATGTCTGTGTGACCTTACCTGAGAAGTAGCCAGCATCTGCCTTCTACAGTAGCTCCTGGAGAGTTTATCAGCAGATCCCAGAACCAGGAAGATGAAAAAAACAGATGTATGTTGTGGGGTTTGAAAACAAAACAACAACAACAACAAAAATAATATTCACCCAAACGTCAATGGTGTTCTTTTTTCCTTACAAAAATCCAGATTTTTCCTCCTCCTTTTTGTCAATAAAAATTTCAATAATGAACATCTATTCTTTTTCTAGCAAAAAGTTATGTTTATGTCCAAACACAAACTGATTGCCATCAAGTCAGAGCTGACCCTCCAGCAGGTTTTCTGAGGTTATTATAAATCACATGGGAAGAGATGGCTCATCTTTTCCCTGCAGAGGAGCTGATGGATTTGAACCACCTGCCTTTGGGTTGGCAGCTCAACTGCTTTCCCAATAGGCTACTGTTTTTAAGAATGTAGATGTATTTTAAGAAAGATAATCATCCTGCTGTGAAGCTCTGAAGTAAGCTAGAGATCATGAGAACATAAAAAGGCTGGCAGGCTTCTAGAGGTCAAGGGAAAAGAAGAGGACATGGCTTAGTAGCTCTGGACTGTGGGAAGGAGGTCATGGGTCAGCAGAGCCTCCAGCCTCACTGATCTGGAGCCGGAAGGGCTGACAATACCACTAACCATTTTGGAGCAGTTCTGAGGGAAGGATAGGAGGGGAGAGGCCACCAGGTACTAAATAGAAACTAATTGCATTCTTTTAATGACTAGTTATTTCGTTTCTGTATGCCTATGATTTGCTTTACTTATAGAAGAGTTAAGACAGCT